AGTAGTGTTAAGCATATTCACATTGTTGTAGAACAGATCTCTAACTTTTTTATTTTGCAAAACTGAAACTCTATACCTGTTGAATAACAACTCCCCATTTCCCCTTCCCACAGCCCGATAACCACCATTCTACTTTCTGTTTCTATGAATTTGACTATTACAAATCTCATATAAGTGGAATCACATAGTATTTGTCCTTTTGTGACTGGCTTATTTCACTTCATATAATGTCCTCAAGGTTCACCCATGTTGTAGCATGTGCCAAGATCTCCCTTCTTTTTTTTTTTTTTTTTTTTCCTTTTTGTCTTTTTTCGTGTCCGGCAACGGATCGCAACCCTCAGTGTCACGCCCGTACTGGACCGGGACCCGCAACGGGATCGCAACCCTCGGTGTTGCGCCTGCACCTCACTCAGCCAGTGAGCGGGAACCGGTCTATATGTGGGATCCGAACCCTCAGCGGGAGCGCCGCCGCGCTCCCAAGCGGCGCCCTGTAGCAGTGCGCCACCGGGCCGGCCCAAGATTTCCCTTCTTTTCAAGGCTGAATAATATCTCATTATATGTATATAATGTCGTTTATCCATTCATCCGTTGATGGACATTTGGGTTACTTTTACGTCTTGGCTATTGTGAATAACGCTGTTGTGAACATGGGTGTGCAAATCTCTCTCAGACCTGCTTTTAATGCTTTTGGATATATATCCAGAAGTGGTATTGCTGGATCACATAGTAATTCTTTTTTAATTTTTTTAGAAACCACCATACTGCTTTCCATAATAGTTGCGTGGACATTCAATTTTGTAATCTAGGCTTTTCCACTAAAAAGTGTATTCTGAAAATTTTTGCAGGTCGTTAGTATTCTTCTCATGTGACACAATTTTCAGTGACTGCATAGGAATCTATCATTTGTTTAACTAGTCCTCCATGGGGAGACATCTAGTTGCAGTTTCTCACCGTTACAGATACATAAACATCCTCTTAAATAACGCTTTATATTCATTATTTCCTCAAGACACATATCCTCAGGATAAATTTCCTCAGAATAAAATTCCTAAGTCAAAAAGTATGAGCATTTTTAACAACTAATAAAGGTATAATTGATATACAATAAACTGAACATATTTAAAGTGCATAGTTTGATGAGTTTCAGCATATGTATACAACTGTGAAACTATCATCACAATCAAGGAAATGAACTAATCCTTCACCCCCAAAAGCATTCTCATGTCCTTTGTAATCCTTCCCTCAGCTCCTTCCCAGCTGGGTCACGTGGTGGGTATGTTTAACTTTTAAAGAAGCTATCAAACTGCTTTCCAAATTGGCAGTACCACTTTACATTTCTATCAACAGTGTATGAGGATTCCAGTTGCTCCACATCCTCAGCAACAATAGATGTGGTCAGTCTTTAGATTCTAGATATTCTAATATGTAGTGGTATCTTGTGGTTTTAATTTGCATTTTCCTAACAACTGATGATGTTGAACATCTTTTTATATGCTTATTTGCCATCCATACATCTTCTTTTGAGAATATCTGTTCAAATCTTTTTTCTATTTTTAAAATTGGGTTGGTTGTTTTCTTTTTTTTTTTCTTAAAAAGATGACCGGTAAGGGGATCTTAACCCTTGACTTGGTGTTGTCAGCACCACGCTCAGGCAGCGAGCCAACCGGTCATCCCTATATGGGATCCGAACCTGGGGCCTTGGTGTTATCAGCACCGCACTCTCCCTAGTGAGCCACGGGCTGGCCCAAGGGTTGGTTGTTTTCTACTTAAGTTTTATGAGGTCTTTGTGTATTCTGGATACAAGTCCTTTATCAGATATGTGATTTGCAACTATATTCTCCAAGTCTATGCCTTGTCTTTTCATTCTCTAAACAGTATTTTCAAAGGTCAGAAGTTCTTGATTTTGATGAAGTCCAATTTATCAACTTTTTTCTTTTATGTATGGTACTGTTGGTGTCATCTAAGAAACTTTTCCCTAGCCCAAAGTAAAAAAATTTTCTCCTATGCTTTCTTCTAGAAGTTTTATAATTTTAAGTTTTACATTTAGGTCTATAATTCATTTTGAGTTCATTTTTGCATATGGTGCGAGGTGTGGACCAAAGTTCATATTTTTCCATATGGATATCCAATTGTTCTAGCACTATTTGTTGAAAAGACTTTCTTTTATCCACTGAATTGTCTTGGCACTTTATCAAAAATCAATTGACCATATATGTGTGGGCCTATTTCTGGACTCTATTTGTTCCATTGATATGTTTGTTAGTCTATCTTTACACCAATACCACACCGTTTTGATTTCTATAGCTTTATAAGTCTTGAAATTAGGTGGTGTAAGTCCTTCAGCTCTGTTATTTTTCTTTCTTTCTAGGACCTAAGGGGTAGTGTCATATTACTACTTGTTAGTTTCCATTTCTTAGATGGGTCATTCCCTCTTCGCTCACCCTTGACAACTGAAAATATTTGTCATGCTCCTGTGTCTCCTGAAGCAAACATTTACTGTATGCCCTGTGTTTCAAATCGTATAGCTTCCTCCGAAGTAACTTTTGATGGGAAATAATTTACATTTAAACAGACTGCCTTTTTAACTTGTTTCTAAAACAGCCAGCATATTAAGGCTCAGTTTTTTTGGTAGAGATTTGTTTTTCTGGATTAAATCCCAAGTCAATTGAAACAAAGTGTTCATTTAAGATTTTTGTCCAGAGTTTTGGAAATTATAACAATGTCTTCATCATTTGATGTTCAACAGGTGTTCAGAAAACTACATCTATATTTGGATACATGCCATTTCTGTTAGGTAGCGACCTCTTTTTCTCCACTCCAGTGACCTAAATAGTTCCTACAAATAGAGTAGTTGTCATTACAGGAAATAGGTTGAATCCAGGCCTGCAACTACACTGTGAATGAATTCAGCAAAGCAAACACAGTCAGTCCTCTGTATCGGTGGGTTCCACATCTGTGGATTCAACCAAACGCGGATTGAAAATATTCGGGCAAAAACTTGCATCTCCATGAAACTGTCAAGCGCAAAAAAAAAAAGTGTCTATACTGAACATGTACTGACTGTACTGACTTTTTTTTCTTGTTATTCCTTAAACAATACAGTATAACAACTACATAGCATTTAGATTTTATTAGGCATTGTAAGTAATTTAGAGATAATGTAAAGTATATGGGAGGATGTGCATAGATAATATGCAGATACTATTTTAAAATACCCCGGCGGGCGCGAGCGCGCGGGCGGCGCGGACGCGGTGCAGACGGTGACGGGCGGCCTGCGCTCGCTCTACCTGCGCAAGGTGCTGCCGCTGGAGGAGGCGTACCGCTTCCACGAGTTCCACTCGCCGGCGCTGGAGGACGCCGACTTCGAGAACAAGCCCATGATCCTGCTGGTGGGCCAGTACAGCACGGGCAAGACCACCTTCATCAGGTAGCGCGCCCCGCCCGCTCCTCGCCCCTGCCAGGGCCCCTGCCCCCACCACCTGGGCGGGCCTCCCCACCTGTGTGCGTCTTGTCACCAGCCTCCCGCCGCCCTCGGGCAATCTGCGACGCCTTCTTCCCCTTAGCGCAACCCGCTCGCCGCTGCTTCCCCTCTACTATCGCCGCGACCTCAGGTGTCCCCTCCGAGTCCGGGTTGGCGCTCCCCGCGCGGGCAGAAGGGTCCCCGGAACCTGTCCTCTGCTCACTCCGAGCCCTTCTTCCTTGCTGTTGGGAAGGCGTTCCCTCTGGCTGGCCTTATCCTGTCACCCTGGCCTGGGGGCCCTGGGGAGGAGTGCGAGGCTATAATAAGCATCTTCGTGATGAGGGAGTGATGCCTAGGGCTGGAACTGCGGACAGAGAGGTGTGGGGTATGAGGATGGGCTATGGAGTCACGCTTGGGGAGTTAAGCCTCTAGCACAGTGCCGAGCACAGAACTGTTTATCGAATGAATGAATGGCAACAGTAGGAAGGCATTACACGTGCACCGTTATCTTGAGGTCCTTACATGCAACCCCCACCCCCGCTGCCGCCGCCACCGCCACCAGCAGCAGCATCACCACAGTGTTTCGGGAAGTGGGTAAAGAGGTCGCCTTCATTCAGCTCTTGCGCTGCCTCGCCTTTACCCGGCCATAGGAAGTTAGCTGTGCATAGCAGCCGCCCCAGGCAGAGGACCTAAGGGGTAGTGTCATATTACTACTTGTTAGTTTCCATTTCTTAGATGGGTCATTCCCTCTTCGCTCACCCTTGACAACTGAAAATATTTGTCATGCTCCTGTGTCTCCTGAAGCAAACATTTACTGTATGCCCTGTGTTTCAAATCGTATAGCTTCCTCCGAAGTAACTTTTGATGGGAAATAATTTACATTTAAACAGACTGCCTTTTTAACTTGTTTCTAAAACAGCCAGCATATTAAGGCTCAGTTTTTTTGGTAGAGATTTGTTTTTCTGGATTAAATCCCAAGTCAATTGAAACAAAGTGTTCATTTAAGATTTTTGTCCAGAGTTTTGGAAATTATAACAATGTCTTCATCATTTGATGTTCAACAGGTGTTCAGAAAACTACATCTATATTTGGATACATGCCATTTCTGTTAGGTAGCGACCTCTTTTTCTCCACTCCAGTGACCTAAATAGTTCCTACAAATAGAGTAGTTGTCATTACAGGAAATAGGTTGAATCCAGGCCTGCAACTACACTGTGAATGAATTCAGCAAAGCAAACACAGTCAGTCCTCTGTATCGGTGGGTTCCACATCTGTGGATTCAACCAAACGCGGATTGAAAATATTCGGGCAAAAACTTGCATCTCCATGAAACTGTCAAGCGCAAAAAAAAAAAGTGTCTATACTGAACATGTACTGACTGTACTGACTTTTTTTTCTTGTTATTCCTTAAACAATACAGTATAACAACTACATAGCATTTAGATTTTATTAGGCATTGTAAGTAATTTAGAGATAATGTAAAGTATATGGGAGGATGTGCATAGATAATATGCAGATACTATTTTAAAATACCCCGGCGGGCGCGAGCGCGCGGGCGGCGCGGACGCGGTGCAGACGGTGACGGGCGGCCTGCGCTCGCTCTACCTGCGCAAGGTGCTGCCGCTGGAGGAGGCGTACCGCTTCCACGAGTTCCACTCGCCGGCGCTGGAGGACGCCGACTTCGAGAACAAGCCCATGATCCTGCTGGTGGGCCAGTACAGCACGGGCAAGACCACCTTCATCAGGTAGCGCGCCCCGCCCGCTCCTCGCCCCTGCCAGGGCCCCTGCCCCCACCACCTGGGCGGGCCTCCCCACCTGTGTGCGTCTTGTCACCAGCCTCCCGCCGCCCTCGGGCAATCTGCGACGCCTTCTTCCCCTTAGCGCAACCCGCTCGCCGCTGCTTCCCCTCTACTATCGCCGCGACCTCAGGCGTCCCCTCCGAGTCCGGGTTGGCGCTCCCCGCGCGGGCAGAAGGGTCCCCGGAACCTGTCCTCTGCTCACTCCGAGCCCTTCTTCCTTGCTGTTGGGAAGGCGTTCCCTCTGGCTGGCCTTATCCTGTCACCCTGGCCTGGGGGCCCTGGGGAGGGAAGGAGTGCGAGGCTATAATAAGCATCTTCGTGATGAGGGAGTGATGCCTAGGGCTGGAACTGCGGACAGAGAGGTGTGGGGTATGAGGATGGGCTATGGAGTCACGCTTGGGGAGTTAAGCCTCTAGCACAGTGCCGAGCACAGAACTGTTTATCGAATGAATGAATGGCAACAGTAGGAAGGCATTACACGTGCACCGTTATCTTGAGGTCCTTACATGCAACCCCCACCCCCGCTGCCGCCGCCACCGCCACCAGCAGCAGCATCACCACAGTGTTTCGGGAAGTGGGTAAAGAGGTCGCCTTCATTCAGCTCTTGCGCTGCCTCGCCTTTACCCGGCCATAGGAAGTTAGCTGTGCATAGCAGCCGCCCCAGGCAGAGGACCTAAGGGGTAGTGTCATATTACTACTTGTTAGTTTCCATTTCTTAGATGGGTCATTCCCTCTTCGCTCACCCTTGACAACTGAAAATATTTGTCATGCTCCTGTGTCTCCTGAAGCAAACATTTACTGTATGCCCTGTGTTTCAAATCGTATAGCTTCCTCCGAAGTAACTTTTGATGGGAAATAATTTACATTTAAACAGACTGCCTTTTTAACTTGTTTCTAAAACAGCCAGCATATTAAGGCTCAGTTTTTTTGGTAGAGATTTGTTTTTCTGGATTAAATCCCAAGTCAATTGAAACAAAGTGTTCATTTAAGATTTTTGTCCAGAGTTTTGGAAATTATAACAATGTCTTCATCATTTGATGTTCAACAGGTGTTCAGAAAACTACATCTATATTTGGATACATGCCATTTCTGTTAGGTAGCGACCTCTTTTTCTCCACTCCAGTGACCTAAATAGTTCCTACAAATAGAGTAGTTGTCATTACAGGAAATAGGTTGAATCCAGGCCTGCAACTACACTGTGAATGAATTCAGCAAAGCAAACACAGTCAGTCCTCTGTATCGGTGGGTTCCACATCTGTGGATTCAACCAAACGCGGATTGAAAATATTCGGGCAAAAACTTGCATCTCCATGAAACTGTCAAGCGCAAAAAAAAAAAGTGTCTATACTGAACATGTACTGACTGTACTGACTTTTTTTTCTTGTTATTCCTTAAACAATACAGTATAACAACTACATAGCATTTAGATTTTATTAGGCATTGTAAGTAATTTAGAGATAATGTAAAGTATATGGGAGGATGTGCATAGATAATATGCAGATACTATTTTAAAATACCATAGGGGCTGGCCACTTAGCTCAGTTGGTTAGAGCAGAATGCTGATAACACCAAGGTCAAGGGTTCAGATCCCCATACCAGCCAGCCACCAAAAATAAATAAATAAATAAAGCAGTGCCTGCCAATCTTCCCCCCAACCCAAAAAAGGAGGGCTGGCAGTTAGCTCCATTGGTTCGAGTACAGTGTTATAACACCAAAGTCAAGGGTTTGGATCCCCAGACCTGCCTGCCACCAAAAAAATCTTTTAAATACCATTCTATATCAGAGACTTGAGCAACCACAGATTTTGGTATCCTCAGAAGGTCCTGGAACCAATCCCCCATGGATACCAACAGATGACTATATACTCTTATTGAAATTAGTTCTAGACAGTAAATTGAACATGAAGAATGACTAAAGAAAATCATTTTTAAATTGCTTTACTTGGTGCTTATTAATAAGCCAAAATAGTATTAAATATATCACCCCAGACACTCAAAATGGGCCATACATGTATTACAGTAACTAGCACCTTGAAAAATGTCAAACAGATAATACAGTTAAGGTCTCAGTAATACTGACCAGTTTTTAAGTACTTGGGATAATAAAATATTACAATCATGTGGTATAAGAGTGGGAGGTGGAATTTTTTTTTTTTTTTTGAAACGTACAAAGAATAAGAGCATAGCATTGCTATAATCTAGTGGTGACATGTTTCACAGCACCCTGGGCATTTCATCCTCTTTGTTTCTGCCATCAGGGCCTGCCTTATTGTGCCCATGTGTAGTTAGGGAGGCCCCTTGCTCGATGCTGAACCAACCTGGAGATAACATGGCCCTCTCTGTGCTTCCATAGACTGGACAACAAGCAGGAGACAAGCAGTCAGGAAAACACAACTCACAGGCACGTGAACCAGTTTTTTTTTTTTTTTAAGATTACTATTTCATTATATCTCACTCCTCTCTTTATCCTTATTTAGGGGAAACTTTGTGGAATAGCTAAGTATAGTTTTAAGAAGTGTTCTGAGATTTGACTCCTGGTGACTACATCCAAACTAACTACTACTCAGTAGGTGCTGGAGCCATGTGCCACCCTAGGGGGCAGAAGGATCACTATATCAAGAAGTCTACTAGTTCTTCCCTGGGCCAAGGGCTTTGTCATTAGGCAGTGGGCACAAAGTGGACCTGTGAGCTTAGAAGAAAATCAGTGTGGACAGGGAGCTTGGTGAGGCCACAGGAGACCTGAATTTGGTTTCAGAGTAGAGCTGGGAGGAAGTGATTCAGCTCCTGGGAGGTAAGCCAAAATGAGAGGCAGCTATCCTGGAGGCTCATGCACTTGGAATGGTGAGCAGAGGGTTGGCCCAGGGTGCTGACCATCCTAGATCCTACCTGAGTGACACCATAGTTAGTGGCCTGCATTGTTTGCGTCTAGCATTTGAGCCCTAGAAGCTCATAGTCGGCTGTGGGGTGCATCTATCTAGTAGTCATAGATTCTTATCTACCTGAATTTCTGCACATCCCAAGAGGCCACTGATGACACAGAACCCACGCTAACATGGAGAGAAACTTCTCATTGTAAAGCCACTCAGCAAAGCCTTCAGTGTACATTCCACACCTTTAATGAAATCTGACTCTTCCTTCCTTTTGTCCCATGGCTGGGAAGCATGAGGAGACCCACTAATACATGGTGGGCCAGGACGTTCATCAGGAGTGAGGCACCAAGTGTGCACCTTGCTCTAATGAAAACGTCTCCTAGATGGGGTGGATAAAGAGCCTGAGTGTCAAGAAAATATGCTCACTCCTACATGGAAGAGCACCAGGAGGGGCCCAAGTGCAAGGAAGAGGATGAATACAGAGAGTTGGTGGACTCTGCTGCAGACCGCAAAATTGATCCAGAAGGAGACTTCCGGTGACATAGACATATTTGTCAAAGTCTCTTTGGGGTAAAAGCAGAACAGCTGATAAGCCTATTATCTCATTGACAGTTTTATTTCTCACAAGACAGAGGATGCATGGGAGGAATTATTGGCTCTTCTACCTCTGACCGGCAAGGAAGAATTGGCCGGAGAAGAAGAGATGAGCACTGGGGAAAGGTGAACATGTTGTCTTAGACTCTATCACAGCCAAGGAAGGGTGGATGTTGAGCTTGGCCAGGCTCGTGTCCAAAACTGAGAAAAACAGATTTCAGAGATTCCTCCAGAAAAATCCCTGGGCCCAGGTGCTGTGAAGGAAGCAGAATTACTCAGCTGTTACTTTGTTTCCTCCTTTTCTCTCAAAGAAAGTGATCAGAGATGGTAGAAGGGAGCCCAGCCGTGTTTGAGAAGGGATTAAACCCCAAAGGACGAGGAGGTCTCTCAGGGCCTGTCACAGGTGAGGCTCAGGAAATATCTGGGTGGACAGATGGATGGGAGGACAGCACAGAAAGACCTTGCAGTTCTCAAAGAACTGTGTTTGGTGATTTTTTTAAATTCTGAAGAATATGAAAAGTATCGGAAAATTGGAGGCAGGCAAATGTCCTAGTTTATAAAACAAGGGGAAAAATACATTCTGGATAGGAACAAAGCCCTACTCCATACCCTTGATAACCCTGTACACTCAGTAATTAAAAAGAAGGGGAGTGAAGGTGCTCACTAGGAGGCAGCCTGGTTCATCCTTTTTTTAAAAATCACATTACAGAAACAGTGTGGACGCAATTTGGTGATTCTCACCCTCATTCAGGTGCTGGAGCCCCTGCAGATCACACCTACACGGGGCTGGCCAGTTAGATCAGTTGGTTAGAGTGTGGTGCTGATAACACCAAAGTCTAGGGTTGGATCCCCTGTACTTGCCAGCTGCCAAAAAAGAGAGAGAGAGAGAGAGAGAGAGAGAGAAAATAAAAGTCACGTCTACAGATCCTAGTGTACATTAATTTAAATAATAATGATTTCAGGGATGGACCCACTATCACAGAACTTAGCTTCATGGGTAATATGGAAAAGAATCAACAGGCCATTACAGCTCTGGGTGACAAGGGCTGTGGCATTAAAGCACACAGTGGGCTGGGGGCATAGGAGGGACCCCTCATTTAGGCTTGGGGGTTAGAAGAGGCCTCCCTGAAGATGTAGCCTAAGAGCTGAGCTCTGAGGAATGAGCAGAATTAGCTGCCCAAAGAAGGTCAGGGAGTGAGGATGGGGAAGTGTCAACCATTAGGCCCAGGTTTCTGGGGTAACTGGGTGGGTGTTAGAGCCATTCACTGAGATGGGGACCCAAAAAGAAGAAGAATGAGGTGTAATTATGAGTTTACATTTAAACCTGTTATGTTTTAAGTAGACACCAAGGTGGAGATGTCCGTGAGGGCTGACATGGGTCTGGAGCTCAGTAGAGTGTCTGGGCTGACGTACTGATTTGGGAGTGTCAGCACTGGTAGCCAGCATCTGGGGAATAGAAGTCCTCGTACAGGATTCTAAGGAA